AAAAAAAAAAAAAAAGACTAAAAGATGTAAGCTGAGGAAATCTACCAGGAAGTAGAACAAAAAGACAAAAACAGAGGAGTTATGAAAGAATAAAGGAAAAACAGAGAACTTATCAATTACATAATGTAAGAAAATTTCTAAGAAATGGAAGACACAGTTATCCTGATCAAAAGGCCCACCAAGCACCCAGCACAGAGACACACAGGTATCCAAACATTAGCCCTCACATGCCCTTCTTCTCAGGAAGTTACTGGAAGATGGACTATAGGAGGGAATAAACCAAGAAACCCCTTGAAATGAGGGATCAACTTCGAAAGTGGCTGCCCAGCATTCAGGAAGCATGGTATTGGACACGGGAGATAAGCAAAGGGACCTCCTAGGCATAAGGTCCAGGGAGCTGCAAGTGATGGCTAGAGGGCAGGCCTAGAGATCAAGCGATCCAGAGGGGCAGAAGAAGGGAGAGGCCTCCAAGGGGAGCTGGGAAGGACCAAAGGAAGGAAGGGAGGGACTTCTCAGTGTAGCTGTGCCATCTGTCAGAGTCTGGAAATAAAATCATGATAGATAAAATAAGAAAATAAATAAACAAGACTGCATTAACTCCAGGGGAGAAAAACTCCACACTGTTCAATAAAGGAAAGAGAATATAGTCTCAGCTGGAAACAACAGCTACACGGTCATAGTGATAAAAATACTGAGAATTTAGAGAAAAACTGTAACTTAAGTATACAGGGACAACAGAGAGGCAAACCATGATGGCGGAGGGTAGTAAGAGAATCAGCCTCATTCCCATAGCAGGGAGTTCACAGATATCTTAAATGTCAAAGCAGGACGGTATGAACCTATCCATAAGGGATGGAGACAGGAGAAGTAGCTAAGAATTCAACGTGGTTGTCACCAGGGCTGAAAGTTTTAGCTGGGGCCTGGGGGGTAGGGTCTCATCAGGGGCAGAGAGAAACAACATATAGCACAAGTCAACTATTTACATTATGTGTATATCCTATTTTGATAAAGATAACCCTTGAATTAAATAAATGAAGGATGGGGTGTTCGGGGCTTGCAGACTACTCCTTTGAAAAGCTTAAAAATCCTAGGAAAATCAATGGTCCACACATGGTATTTTTTTGTCCCTTCTTTTTTAAGTTTGAGAAATATGGAAAAGGCAGAAACAACGAAGAAGACATTATTCCAGCAGCAGAAAGGAGACAGGGCATCTAAAGGTGCAAGATCTCCAAGGAGGCAGGAGTAAGGGGTCTGGAACATGTGTATCCAAATTAGGCTGGGACAGAGAGCTCTCCCCTGCTGGTCAGGGGTGGAGGATGGAGGGGACTGGACTGCAAGGGAAAAACCTTGTGGTTAGAGAGTCGAGGCACTGCTTGATAGTCTCTGTTTTGGGAATGAGTGAAGGGGCTAAGGAAAATCGTGAATGTTTGAGAAGGTACCAGAAAGAAATGTTAAATTCAATTTGATCAAGTAAACTGGATCTTAGAGCAGAGAGTATTTGTACTCAGTCATTCCTCCATGCTTCCATATTTCATAACTCTTCCATAACATCTTTATACTAATACTTTAAAGGACTCTCTTTTCACTAAACTATGAATCCTCGAGAATGGTCTTATGCCTTTGTCTACGCATACAGACTCACCGCGGTGCCTGATGTGAAATGCATTTTTGTTCTATAGATATATAAATGTTTATTTCCAAAAATACAAAGGCATGTCAACACACCAACACACATTTATTACATTAATATGCTTTTTATAAACCAAGACAGTCAGCATTTAATAATTTTACTATAGTTTAAAAATAATACCTAATGTCCCTCATGGATAGCCCCCCCAAAAAAAATCTTATTTAAGTTCAAATTTACATCTGAAGCTGTCTCTCTTTGACTACATATAATAACACCTAGGATCTGTTTGGGATGATGCCCATACCTTAACCCAACTGAGAACATCAGGGAAGACTACATGAATCTATGACTAACTAGCTAGTAGATTCTAAATTAAAGCTCAGGAACATTCACAATGAGTTTTAAAACAAAAATTCCATAGTTGAAAATCAATGCCTGCCCTGTCAAATAATAAACCTGAAGAGTTTATGGTATGAAATATCAAAGTATTGATTCAGAATTAATTTTGAGTACAGGTGATCTCTGTTCATTAGTACTTCCTAATATTTCAACATACTCTAATTTTATATTACAACATACTCTAACTTTATATTCCTTCCAAGAGAGAAATCCAACTATTCACTAAGAAAAGCATAATATAATGCTAATTTTTAAAAAATTCTTTCTTCTCCCCTACATTTAAGCCAATTTCCTTGATAATTTCCAACACCTTTTCCATAAAACATTTCAAATCCATCTCAAACACGTTCAAAGGGGAGAGGAAGGGCTAAAAATAAATACAAACAAGAGTTTTGTTGGCCATTTAAATCTTTAACTAAGGTTAGAGAATGTTTTTGATTGCTATTAAAATCCTTGCCACATTAATATAGTAGAGAAAATTAATTTGAGAAATCTATCTCGAATGCCAGATTATGTCAATAAATCCTAATCTTTAGTTTTACAAAGCAGTGAAACAGAGAATTTTAATTTTCTAAATGAATTAAACTAATGAACGATTTAGGACAAAATGCAGATTAGTACACCTGCATATACTTTTCCTCAAATCTCACAAAGTTTAAGTTGATCAACTAAGGTTGTTCCAGGAATCATGTAATACAACCAAACTACCACCTCCATAATTTCATCCTTTTATCCTTTCAAAAACGTTTTAGAAATGCATTTTATAGTATACTAAGCTATCCTGATAATGGTAGTATGTTAATTGTACCTTAAAAGTCATATAAGCCAAATCAATTCAATAGCTCCATAAGAACTTCTAATTTACAAAGGCATGCAAAAGCATCTTCTAATATACCTGATTTTGACTTCAGGATAACCTGAATGGTATGTCCATCGTTGGTGACTTCGCAGTCTCGGCAGACCACATAATTTGGGGAGAGGCGGACATCCAGCAGTGAGGGGTCATATCTAGCTTCTCTTGAGTTTAAGTTAATGGGAGACTGGTATTCCCCATTAGCATCAGGAAACACTAAGCCCCACTCAACACCTAAGCACAAAATAAAGCAAATTTAGAACAGGTTAAAAGAAAGTTCCAACAAAATTTAACATGTAAAAGCTACTTTAGACACTGTTTATTTATGATCCTTGACATTATTAAGGTTATGACTATTCTTTCTTTACAGATGAAGTATGATAAATGTGTATGAATTTCTGCATTCATATTTTCAATGATATAATGCTATCAAATACCACACACAAAGTATTGTACTAACAAAATATTCTATTTGTCTTTGTCCACATAGATGTAATAATACGTGATTCTAGGAAATTTAGGTCATCTTTAAGTGACTGAAAAAGAATCAATAGTTCCACAAAAATTTCCTCTGCTCATTAGTTCAATTACATGCAGTACTGGAGAAATACCTGAAACTCTGAACTTGCTTGATGAGAGCCAAAAACCATAAATCTGATGCTAGTGAATAACCACTTCTTATCAGAAATGCAAATACAGCAATTCTGAAGTGGGCATATGCATATATACGCACACCGATATAATCATACAGTATATACATATATTCTTAGCATATTTTATAAAATTATAAATTCCCCATTTGTTTCGACATCAGAACCAGTGGTCAATTAGGAGCACCAGTGGTCTATTACGAGTCCTACATCTTCCGCGATAAATGGAGCAAACAAAACTTTTTAAAAGTCAACCCCCTTCCGACCAAGCCCACTGATTCAGCTTGAAATTTGGGGCTTCTTTGGAGTTGAACACTGTTAGTACCCTTCATGCAAAGAGTAGTGGCAAGAATGCTTTCCCCCAGCAGGGTCCGCACAGCAAGCAAGAAACGAATAGTTTCGGTAACACTGTGTACCTAAGGTGCTGAGTAACACAGCTCTTCGCGGGCACTCAGTACACACAAGGGTTCCAGGCGCAGCGTAAGGCCGGCCCTCCGGATGGCCGCAGGTGCCAACTGCTGCGCGGCAGCACCGCCCGGCTCCCCGACGCGAACGCAGGTGGCGGGCACGCCCGCTCTGCCTGCGGCCACTTCGGCCCCAAATCGGGCCTGGGGAGCGGGAAAGCGACAGAGACGCACGTGGGAAAGAGGAGACGCGGCGGTGCTGGGAGCGCGGGAGAGCTGCAGGGACTCGGCGCTCGGCGGGACGCACACGCGGGGCCCGGGACCCCGGACTCCCCACCCGACTCGCGGCCAGTTACCTTCTTCGTAGCCCCACTCCACCCCCTCCTCCTCTTCCTCTTCATCCTCTTCCTTCTCCGGGAAGGCGACGGAATCTTCGATGAAGCTCAGGTCAGCCATGGGAAAGGCCGTGGGTCCCCTCGGCGCTCTCGCGCGAGGTGCCTGCGCGGCAGCAGGGAAGCGGGCAGGAGTGGGAGTGTGAGCGCGTGGGAGTGTGAGGCCGAGCGGGAGCGCGTGGGGGTGCGAGTGCGCGAGTGTGTGAGTGTCAGCGCGCGCGTGTGGGTGTGAGCGCGCGAGCGGGCGCGAGGCGGGAGCGAGGCGGGAGCGGGCTGGGCCGGAGTTTTCGGGCGGCCGGGGCGGGGAGCGCGCGTCTCGAGTCCCGGCGGAGCGCGAGGGGAACCGCAGCTCCAGGAGCTGCAGCGGGCGGATTATAAACACGACCGGGGCGTGTCTGGCACGGGAGGATCCGCCCCCTTCGCTCGGTGGCCCCGGCGCCGGGGGCTGGACAGCAGGGAAAGGGCCTGGGGCTAGCGGCCCCACAGGGGAAACTGCGGAAGCCCGGTCGCCCTACCTGCGGGGTTGGCTCCCCACTCCCGGCTCTCCCACGCTTACCTTCCAGAAGCCTGCGAATCGCCCAAGGACCCGTGTGTGCAGGCCCTAGACCCGGGGCTTTCTACCTTATTAACTTTTGGCTTTCCTACAGGAAGTACCAAAAAAAAAAAAAGTGGAGGGGTGGGTCGCGAAGGAGAGAGATTAATTGCCATGGGTAAGAGAAAAGAGAGGGCTGGGAAGACCCTATAAGAAGTTTCCCACTCTGAATTTTTATTATTGGCTATTTACTTTATCCTTCGTCCTTAAAGGACGGTGGAAAGGAGAATGGAAAAATTTCCAAGAAACTTGTAGTTCTTAAAACATGTAAGACAAAATTGTTTTAATCCAGAGGAGTGGATATAATTTGGAGATTTTTTTCCCTAAAAGAAATTATCTCAAAAGCAAGAGTACTGACAAGCAATAAAGAAAGGGTGTTTGGTATTAGTTTCAGAGTCTGGGGTGCTGTTGCAAGTACAGCTTGCTGTGTACACAGCTCCCAAACGCCTCGTGAAATCGTGTAAATAATGAAATGCACACATTGCATAACAAACAGGAACTTTCCTGATCCTAAGAGGTCGCACTGTTACCTCTTAAACGGACTTCCCAATGACTTAATCCCTTAACCCCCGTGTTTCAATGCGTTTTAAAAGCCCCAGCTAATAACCCCTGATCGGGTTAACTCCATATTTTTAGAAGCTCAGATTTGGACCTTAAGCAGAATTTGTTTTTTGGGGTGTTTTTTTTTTAACTTTTTTTTTATGTTATGTTAATCACCATACATTACATCATTAGTTTTTGATGTAGTGTTCCTTGATTCATCGTTTGCGTATAACACCCAGTGCTCCATTCAGTACGTGCCCTCTTTAATACCCATCACCAGGCCAACCCATCCCCCACCCCACTCCCCCCCTCTGGAACCCTCAGTTTATTTCTCAGTCCATAGTCTCTCATGGTTCGTCTCCCCCTCCGATTTCCCCTTCATTTTTCCCTTCCTGCTATCTTCTTTTTTTTTTTTTCTTAACATATAATGTATTCTTTGTTTCAGAGGTACAGGTCTGTGATTCAACAAAGCAGAGTTTGTTTTTATATGCTCTGTGCACGCACCAAAACGTCTGTTAGCAGTTTGAATAGCCGGTTCTTAAATCATCCCATCTTGGGCGCCTGGGTGGCTCAGTCGTTAAGCGTCTGCCTTCGGCTCAGGTCATATCCCAGGCAGGGTCCTGGGATGGAGGCCCACATTGGGCTCCCTGCTCAGCGGGAAGCCTGCTTCTCCCTCTCCCACTCTGCCTGCTTGTGTTCCCTCTCTCGCTGTCTCTCTCTGTCAAATAAATAAAAATAAATAAATCTTTAAAAAAAAATCATCCCATCTTTATGAATGCTTAATTCCTCATAGGATGGAGATGCTCCTCCTGGGGATTTTTAGGTTCTGTAGAATGGAGATGCTCCTCCTGGGGATTTTTAGGTTCTGTAGAATGGAGATGCTCCTCCTGGGGATTTTTAGGTTCTGTAGAATGGAGATGCTCCTCCTGGGGATTTTTAGGTTCTGTGCTCCTAGCATTCAGTGCCTGCTCAGCCCGCCACTTTTTTTTTTTTTTAAAGATTTTATTTATTTATTTGACAGAGAGAGAGAGAGCAGGAACACAAGCAGGGGGAGTGGGAAAGGGAGAAGCAGGCTTCCCGAGGAGCAGGGAGCCCGACGCGGGGCCCGAATTCACGACGCTGGGATCATGACCTGAGCCGAAGGCAGGCGCTTAAGGACTGAGCCACCCAGGCGCCCCAGCCCTTCACTTTTTAAAAAAGCCACTTAACAGGTTATTAGAAATTACTCCAGAAGGTGGATTGGGATTGGCGGGGGACCCTCAAATCAATCAATTCTGACACTTCCTGGAACAATTAGCTAAAGAGGTGAAACTATTGGTCAGCTTTAGCTTTGAGGATTCCAAGCACTCGTGTAAAAAAAAAATCCCCCTTAACATAAAGACTAAAAAGTCTACCATTATGAGGACTTGAGCCACAGTCTAAGAGACATGAAATTCATTCTTCACTCACTGCCTTTAGGGTGTTCTTTAGTGGATAGCCTCTCTCCTCTGCTCTTCTAATAAGCCTGAGACTGACAGAAGTATAAGTCTACCCTATAGTTTTTAAAAATAATAAGCACTACCCGAAGTATTAACCATTTTCACTCAAGTTCTTCTAAAAGGAATGTTTCATTTATCTTTCCATTGTTGAAAACTTTTTCACAATCTTGAAATTTTCATTGAAGTTCCTTTCTAGAAGTATATTCACACATTAATCAAATGCTGCAGCTAATGCAACCTGTAGAAAATAATAAAATCATTTTGCCACCCTGAGCTCATCAGTAATGTCCATACCCCTTGGCCCAAGCGTGCATAGATGCCAAACTGTAACTGTTGTGTGACCACCAGTTTCATTTAAAGTATCACATGAATTATAGAGATGTTTACCAAACCAGAGGACAACAAAATCACCATGGAAAAAACTCAATGTTCCATGAGTAAATGGTGTGCCATATTTACTGCAGACAGCCTGAAAGATTGAATTACCAATATTGAATTTTGTAGCTAATAGACCATCTTGTATATAGTCAACAATATATCACTATTCATAAATGTAGTTAACCACTAGACAAACATATGTTTACCCATACTTGTTCTTTCTAAATTATTCAACATCATGTGTATAATGTAGCTCCCCACTGCAAGCCTAGGATACCCTACCCAGCAACATATGAACCATTCTACTGTGCATCCAAGTATTCAATTAACAGCCTTAATTGCTTTGAGACTGTGTGCTTTAGATTTCTGCTAATTAACAGCACCTTAAGACCTTCTCTTCTCAGGTCCCTGTACTATATTATCGCTAAAGATGGAATTTCTATTTCTAGTTATTATAAGGTATCTGTCACCATAAAACCTAAACACACAGATGGAAGATATAGGCCAATTCTTTGATTTATAAACTAGAACAAGCACACCTAAATCTAATATCAGAGAATCTAAAAATATTCATGCTCTCTATTATGAACATAAGTACTCCACATATCCCCATATGTAATTTTAAAAATATTTCAACCTAATATCATATTTGATTCCTTAAATTAACTTTCTATTGCTCGCTTTTAGTGTTTGCATAACTGAGGTCAAACCACATCAGTAGAACAATTTGTTAAAACTAAGACCTATATAACAAATTACTATTTGATACCAAGAAAATAGAAATACCTAAAAAGGGACAAACTGATCTAGATGCCACAGGGACAAAGAGACACTAAGATTGCTTCACAGCACTCCTGACTTACACACCCCTCTCCTCTCAATCTTTTCCTATCCTTTGCCTACCTTATCAAAGCTTTCTTCTTGTGTTGGTGAGTTTCAGCCCTACAGTCGTCACGAACAATTATTACTTAATTCTTATGTGCATCTTATGCTCTGGGAGCACCTCAAGGACAGAGCTAACATATGTATGTCAAAATGGCTTCTAACTAGATTGTAAATTTCTGAATTTCAACAATGAATTGTGTTCCTTCATGTGCACTGCTCTGCATTGTGTGCTGTGGGAGAGACCCCAAAACGAATTAACACTCCTTCTGCCAGTAGGGAATTCATAGTTCTCTTGGGATTGGGGGGGGGGCAGGGGGAGTCAATAATTAACTATAATAAAGGCAATATATTTAATAGAGATGCAAGCACCATTACATCTGAGGAAGATGCAATTCATACAGATGGGAATGATCGAGCAAAGTTTCTTAGAGAAGATGGCTTTTAAGGCAAATGCAAAAGGATGAGTAGGATTTAGAGGACAGTGAGTGAGCAAACAGCATTTCAAGCACAAGTAATGATGCCAAATCATGGAAGTCCTGATTGTGGATCCGTTTCTCCATGAAGTACCGCCGTGACCTGCCAAAACCAATCTAGATTACTCAAAAAAAGTGTGCTTCAATGGGATTATGTCTGAAGAAAGAGATTTCTTTGGTTTAGTTTGTTAGTCTGATTTTTGTTTGGTCAGTAAAGACATTTTTAACCTTAAAAACAAAGCAGTCACCTATTTTACCAGCAAAAATAGATTTATTTAGGAATATCAGAGAATTGAAATGGCAAAACCATAGGCAAGTCCAACAAATAAAGGAAAGGGATATTACTTTATGGAGAAGAAGGAGAGGTTGGAAGGGGTTGTTTTGAATGAAAGCCCATAGGAGAAAAGCAAGAGTTAAAGGTGATAATGGTTTCTTATTGGCTGAGTTGCAGGGATGGTTCATTTCTTGTAAGAGATATAATGGACATCATTCCCTATTGGGGCCTGTAACTGATGATTTTTTCCTGTTGACAATTCTTCTATTCAAGTCTGTAATTGACAATTCTTCCTATACTAGACATTTGAGAAATAAAGCTCCCCCTTTCTGTGCTCCCCCTCTGGCCTCCCAACTCCATTTTAGTGAGGCTTCCCTTTATTAAATTTCACATCAAAATTTTCCTCCTTATGTATATTTTGATTTCTGAAGCTTTCAAGCTTTGCTTATAAGGCAAGAAGTTCTGATTCTTTCATATTTTTTCTGATCAGATTAATCTATTTTGCTTGCTTACAGCTTTGTTTATGAACCTACTTTGGTTTGGTCTCTTCTCGATCTTTGTCTTCCAAACATCAGTTTTTAGTCTTCAGGCGTGGTGTAGCTGTGGCAGATTGTTTTATTGTTTCTGTCATTCGCTGCCCCTCTCCATGAGATTATACTTCACTGACTGACCATAGAACCTGCTTTGACCAATTGAATATGGGTAGATAT